TAAATGAAAACTGAAAATATAAAAATAAAAGCTAATTCTAATTTTAGTAAATTAATTCTAATATTACTACATATTATAATTGCATATATACTAAAAAAGAATCATACAAAATTATTTCATGATTTTATTTCTACAATAGTGATGGTACTGTGTACAGCAAATTAATTACATTTTCTCAATAAATATAAAAATAAAAGCTAATTCTAATTTTTGTAAATTAATTCTAATATTACTACATATTATAATTGCAAATATACTAAAAAATAATCATACAAAATTATTTCATGATTTTATTTCTACAATAGTGATGGTACTGTGTACAGCAAATTAATTATATTCTCTCAATCGTCTCTCAAATTGTGCTCAGATTTGCCGAAATACCAAATCAGTGTTGTTATTGTTAACTAAAACTAAATGTATTAAAAACGTATTAAAATATAGATGAAATAAAATATAAATATTAGATGAAAAAAATTAAACTTTAAAAAAAAAGCGTAAGAAAAAATGAGTAAACTGAAACAAAATAAGTAAATTCTAAAATTACTAAACTGAAATAAATATAAATATTTAACATATTAAAAAAAAATTATAATAAAAATGACAAAAGCACATGAGAAAATTAATAACTGTAAAATTTAAATTAAAACTATTAAATAATTAGAAAATTAATAAATCCTAGTGTATATATAAATACACTTCTGGTCAAAAGTTTGTAATAATTAAGAGACTCCTATGCTCAGTAAGGCTGCTGAAAATTCCGGAATGAATAACGTTTTAAAAAAATATTCACATAGAAAATGGTTATTTTAAATTGTAATAATATTTCACATTATTACTGTTTTTACTATATTCTTGATCAAATAAATGCAGCCTTGGTGAGCAGAAGAGTCTTCTTTCAAAAACACTGAACTGAATTATTCCAAACCTATGACTGGAAGTGTAAAACTAAAATATCAGCGTTCAGAGAGCCTCCTGTGAGCAGTAAAGCTGCTGTGTCTTTCATCTGTCTTCCAGAGTGGCTGGACACCGCTGCATTACGCGGCTAAAGCCGGCTGTCTGGAGGTGGTGTCGTTCCTGGTGGAGAGCGGAGCATTGGCGTGTGTCAAATGTCATGCCGGACGGACGCCGCTGCAGTACGCCGCTCAGGAGAACCACGAGAAAACTGTCATCTTCCTGCTCAGACGAGAGAAGAACACACTCCTCACAAGAAGGTCAGACTCACTGATATGCTGTTCATTCTGCGTGTGTGTGTGTGTGTGTTTATTTGTTTGTTTATTCCAAATGTTCTAACTACCAGTTGTTTTATTTGTTGTGAAAATTAATGCAATTAAAAACTTGAACAAAATGAACAGATGGCTCTCATTCAGACAGAGAGCTGATACTGATGGAGACTGAAACGTCACTACATTACTATACATCATATACAACACACTGTATTAAAAACACATTTATTAAAATTGGTTTATGTGAGGATTGTTTTAAGTTCACCTAAATTAAAAGTTATTATATATTTTTTTAATGTTCTGTAAGTTTAGGCTTAAATGATGGCACAAATTTGACTGTAATAACGAATGGCTACAATTTTATCTTCCGAAATTGATAAAAAAATAAATTTAAAAA